GAAACATCTCAGTTGGTATTCTGTCAATTCCTGAAGCCTTGTTTTTCGCCAATACCTTCAGTGCAGCTTGGACTTCTTCCTTCTGTACCATTGGTTCCTGATCATGTGCTACCTCCTAAAATTGTTGAACATTGACCAATTCTTTTTGGTTTAGTGACATCTTCTGTTGATGCATCTTGTGTCATTTAATATTTTCTCTGTAGAATCCTTCACTATTACAACTTGAGGCTTGAATTTTTTTCTTCAGTTCTTTCAGCTTGAGAGATGCCAAATGTGTTCTTCCCTTTTGGTTTTCTGTTTCCAGATCTTCATAAATGTCATTACAATACTTTACTTTGTTTTCTCGAGTAGCCTTTTGAAATCTTCTGTTCAGCTCTTTTACTTCATCATTTCTTCCATTTGCTTTAGCTACTCAACATTCAAGAGCAAGTTTCAGAATTTCTTCTGGCATCCATTTTGGTCTTTTTTTTCTTTCCTATCTTTTTAGTAAGTATTACTATTAGAAAAAGGAATAACATAAAGTAAAGGAAAAGGATAAAATGAACCCTGTGGTATTAGACTTGAATCAGAGACATGGGTATGATCCTGTGGTTTTTAAAATACATACAGACCCACATAAAAATAAGTAAGTACGTGTCTTTGTATGTGTATACTACACACATATCTATCTCTTAGCTCTTCCACTTAGAAGGTCCAGTAGCAATAAGCATATATAATGCCCAGCACACGTAGACTAGAACTTTATTTCTAGATATCATTTTCTAATAAATGGAACCAGGGTTTCTTGGAGAAAAGTCTGATTCCAAGATTCAGGTAGAAAAGGACAAGATGAGCCTTGAACACTGACAGAAAACAATTGTCTTAGGGTGGGTTCTCTAGAGAAGCAAAACCAGTAAAGCATATAAAAATAGAGATTTATACCAAGGAAATGGCTCACATAGTTGTAAAGGCTGTAACATCTGAAATCCATGGGTCAGGAAAGAGGCTTCTCCTGATTCACGCAGCTGCAGGGGCTGGCGAACTCAAGATCAGCAGGCTGTAGAGCAAGGCTGTTGCTCACAGGCTGTGAAGATTGATGAATCCCAAGATCAGCAGGCAAGACCACAGGTAAACTGCTAGCTCAAGTCCCAAAATCCGGAGGTCACACGAACAGGAACTATCTGCAGGATCCAGAAAAAACAAAAGCCCCCCCAAGCCCTACCTGAACATGCGCCCACATTCGATGCAGGCCACACGCCCAAAGAAACTGTCCATTCAACTCGCCTATTTGGCCTGTGCAAAAAACAGACGGATCTTGGAGAACGACAGTGGATTATCCAAAAGTTAACCAGGTGGTGACTCCAGCTGAAGCTTCTGTTCTAAATGTAGTCTCATTCCTTAAGCAAATTAATATATCTCCTGGTACCTGATATGCAGCTATTGATCTGGCTAATGCCTTTTTCTCATCTGTTTTGAAGGACCATCAGAAGCAGTTTGCCTTTAGCTGGAAAGGCCAGCAATACAACTTCAGTTGCTTATCTCAGGGCTACATCAACTCTCCAGCCCTATGTCATAATTTGGTCCCCAGGGACCTTTATTGCCTTTCCCTTCCACAAGACATCACACTGGCTCATTACACATTACCTTATGCTCTGCAGGTCTAGAGGTTATAGTTCCTAAGGGAGGAATGCTCCCACCTGGAGACACATCACTGATTCCATTGAAGTGGAAGCTAAGAATACCACCTGGCCACTTTGGGTTCCTTATGCCTCTGGATCAACAGGAAGAGTTACCATATTGGCTGGTGTGATTGATCCTAATTAACAAGAAGAAATCAGATTGATATTACATAATGGAAAAACAGTATGTCTGGAATGCAGGAGATCCCTTACAGCATCTCTTAGTACTACCATGCCCTGTGATTAAAGTCAATGGAAAACTACAGCAACCCAATTCCGACATGACTACTAATGTTCTAGACCCTTCAGGAATGAGCGTTTGGGTCACCCTGCTCCCGGTTCCAAATTTCTTGGGCTGGCTTCTCTAGAAAAGCAAAACCAGTAAAGTGTATATGTAT